TAAATCTTAATCTGGAAAAAAGAATTTTGAAAAATAAATTAAGTTTGAAAAAATAAAACCAGAGAAAATAGTAATTTTTTAAAGACGTTTCTCAGAATTTTAATTTCTGGATTTCATTTTTTTTTTCAACCCTCCATTTACAAAATGTTCTTTTCAATAATAATGGACCAAATATCCCTCCATAATATGGCAGATCTTAGTTCCTACCATCCCCTCCATGCCATGAGGGAGAAGCAGCACTATGCCGTTCTGTCGGACCCACTTGGCCTGTCCCGAGCTGATAAACTGGTCGATAATACACTGAGCTGTATTGTGAAAGTCTCCAAACTGGGCCTCCCACAGAACCAGAGCGTTTGGACTGGCCATGGCAAAGCCTAGCTCAAAACCTGTGCAGGGGATAAAACAAACAGCATGGTAGGATTTAAGAATTTGTAATTAACAATGTGGAGGTTTAGTAGCCGTGTCAGTACTTGTTCCACCCACCCAGGACTCCGTACTCAGACAAAGAGCTGTTGCAGACAGTGTAAGGAGCCTGATCTGCAGCGATGTAGTTCATGGGGATGCAGATCCTTCTATCAACGTTCTGGTCATGGAGAACGTGATGCCGATGGCTATGAAAGAAAATACAAAACAAGCGTAAATATAAATGGGTTATTTTATATAATTATTTTTTATTGTAACATTGTATACAAATGTAATGGGGGGGGGATGAAAACGCTAAAAAAAATAAGTTAACCAAGTTCAAAAAAGACAAATCTAATTACATTTCTCCAACTACAATAAAATAACATAAGATTCAGGTTTCAAACTAGTGTAGCACTGAGCAGCACGTTCTTTTTTATCTTTTGTGCAAATGAATCCCAGTTATCTTTAACCAGTGTAGTTCATTATTACCAGTAGCACAGTAGTTAACCTTTCAGAAGAAAACAACATAATTTTCTTGTTTTCTTTAACAAATTCAACCAGATTATCCAGTCAAACTGATTCAAAGTTTTCCATCTAAGGAAAACCAGCTGATTGCATCGACTCGTTGACTAGAAAGAAATCCCTCACACTAAGCATGCTTGTAGCGATAGTGGAGAGGAAAAACTCCCTTTTAACTGGAAGAAACCTCCAGCAGAACCAGGCTCGGTGTGAGCGGCCATCTGCCGAGGCCGACTGAGGAAGTTACTTTACCTCATGTGTTGAGAAAGAACAAAACTCAGCATTTACCATGTTTTGCTGTTACCTGAATGTCCCCCTCTCTACATCTTGCCCGCTGAGACGCACATGGATGCCCTCTTTGAGCAGAGAGCCGAAGGCCATGTATTCTCCGAGGGCCCAATCACAGATACGTTGGCTCACCATATTTGCACGTCCCTTTAGAATACGACTCAACCCTGCAGTGTGATTGACCAACAGAAACAGGAAGCTTAAATATGGCTCACTGGGAGGACTTTCTTACAGTCAGAGTGGGAGGGTGGAGAGTACCTCCATGTATCGTGAAATCTTCCAACGGGACAGAGGAGGCAATGTTTCCAATGTGACAGAGCTCATGTTCGCTGATGCCGGTGGAAGGGCAGCGCATGGTTTTAGGTTGACCTTCCAGAGTAAAAAAACCTGAAGATAAAGAGCAAAGATGCAACTCATTGCTGATGTTTCAATTTCAAACTGCTAAGGTACTGAACTGGATTTGCTCCATCCGGAATAAATAACATGCGGGTCTTTAACACACAAATCAAATACTTATTTAAGAAAAGGATAAGAGTAACAGAAAAGAAAACAGGCAATGTTTGAGACAAAAGGCTTTAAAAACCTGTGAAAAGAGAAAAGTCAAAGCAAAGGTTTCTGGGACCAAGCACCATGTCTTCAGGGTTTTTTCTCATTAGGATATTAAAAAGGATTTAAATATATATCTGACCATCATCAGTATAAAATTGATATGAGATGCAGTGCCTTCTCAGGATGGGCCGCAAGTACAACCAAAAGAGAAAGTGTCCAAGCACTGAACCCTGCGGAGTACCTCCAGGACACCATGTTCAGAACAATGACAGAAGGTTACTAGGATATTTTACCAAATCATTTTTATTTACCCCACATCTTCATTGTAAATTGGAATTTTCAGTACATTCCAATTGCTCTAAATTAGTTTTTAATTTGACCTAATTTCAAATTCTTCAAAATAAACTTCTGAGGGCAGGAAGGACAAATCGAATGTCTCAAAAAAGACTTTCATAGAGATTTTAGACAAATAAAACAGTTAAAGAAAAACAAATGGTTGTTCTTGACATGAATTTAAAAGTAGTGTAGCTTAATGTGGCTAACTGACCAAGCTAAAAGAGGCTAACCTGTTAGATAATGAGCACAGCTAGCCACAGCGCTACCACTTTATATCATGGTCTAACAGTTACTTTGTTCAACATAAACAGATTTTTTTCTGTTTTTTTATCGTTCAGGTAAAACTTCATCAGTCATTAGACACGCTAACGCTACAGATGCTCTTGACTCGGTACACTGACGCTACGTAATGCTATTATCGTTGTCTGGGCAACCACAATGTTTTTGCGTCATGTGGCAACGTTCAGCCAATCATGTAGCGTAATGTCATTGTCATGAAGCAGGACCTGAGCAGATCTGGTACCTACACTCGGAGTATTTCAAAAGCAGTGGCCTGGGATCGGCCTGACTCTCTCTTGTTTTTTTACATTGTTTTTTTTAAGTCTCCCGGTGCAGCTGCGGTGCACCTGTCAGACAGAGGGACAGACCAGGGTAGGCCGGTAGCATTTGAGGAGGGACACAGAAGCCAAAGGCTGTTTCTCAATACGTGTACATGTGTGTTATGTACTCGTGTACTCATGAAACCTCATCATCCTCAGCCCTACTACTGTTCCAATTCACAAGAACAGCAGACAGAGAACGGACAATGTCCCTGGATGTTGCTCTCGCATCAGAGCAGACTCGTCCGTTCTTGAGATTGACAGCTGTCCCAGCATGCACTGATCACAGATCTCAGAGATTAAGTTAAAAGTTCTCTTTTCTGTTGCCGTTGTTCAATAAAAGTATATTTTAAGATCATTTGAGGAGAGAACATTACACTTTTAATCGTCACTATTTGGTCGATTTACTGATTTAATGCGTAATTTTAAAAAATCTGTGGCAACCTGCGGAGCTCCGATGTATTGTATGAAATTGTGTTGTATCAAACTGGTCCTATAGTCACTCGATTACAGATGGAG